CAAAAGATATCAATCACCTAAATTTTTTCGAAGTTTTGCACATCAAGATTCTTTTGGTTCATCCATCAATTTACCCTGATCGTGAAGTGTACAAAAATGTACAAAACTTACCATTGAATTCTGCATTGTCTGAAGTCTGATTCAAGGCAAACTCTTCCGTGTTGACAGCTTTCAGAAAAACTATCCATTAATGGCAAATGTAAGAATTATAAGGAGAACATACTAAAAGAATCAACCGTCCATCACTCCAGCAAGTGCCAAGGAGTTGTGGTGTAAGCTACATGGGTAAAGCCAGATGGTCTGTGACACTGGACCAAGACAGTAGACCCGTGTGCATCAGGAAACATGATCCTGACATGGCATGCTCCTATTCAAACTTAAGTCCTGCTGGAATACTAGGTTGGTTGGGTTGGATCATGTTGGGTTGGTTGTTGTAAGAAAGTGCAGTTGGCCGGGTTGGAGTGCTCTGCATGAAGGGCAAACAGTCCAAATACATTTACAGCTCCCAGATTGATAACCGCACGTATTCGCAATAACATAGACCCTTCTCTCATGAAGGTATTTTTCTTCAGCCGCACCCAGGTCCACGCCTTCGCTCACGTGCAGCTCCCCCTGCCGTGGGCATACCCCCCCTGGCTTGAGTCCTGGTTGTAGTTGTGGTTGTTCGCCCCCACGCCGTCGCTGCTTGTTCTTGGACACAGTAGCCCCGCTACTCCCGCATCCCTTGTCCCCCATTGCAACATCAACCTAGAGAAAATCATACCTATGTCAACTGTCTAGACATGAAAGACCTGAAAGACCTCTCACTGTCCGCAGTGCTGACTGGAATGACCATCAGTACTGATGCCAGCAGCCTCATGTTGGGGTACAGCCGTCCCACAATCTCCACTGTGCAGCTGTGAATCCTTCAAAACAAGATTCAGTTTTTGAAGGGATACCAGAGTCAAGGTTACTGGGTACTGTCATGGCATTTACATTGGATCACCAGAGATCTTGAATCTCATCTACATAAGGCTT